TATATATATATATATAAAGTATTATTATTATTGTTATTACTATTATCAACTTCATCATCATTATCATTACTAGTGTCATTCAGTTCAATTCAATTTATTCAACAAATACCTCCAGGCTGGGGAAGGTGAAAATATATAAAATACAATAAAACTTCACAATAGAAAATTAATTAAAAGGAACTCACATCTATTATACAAAAACCAAAAGTACGGAAATTTAAAATGCTCTTGTTAAATTAATGATTGTATGAATATCGTTATTGTATAAGCAATTCTTTACACTGTCACAGATTCCATGGTTTACGCAATCGTGACTCTTAGGTATATCAGCCTTTAAGCGTTTCTTGTATACATTATTAAATATAACAGAAACAAAGGATACATTTCTATCGATATTACCCTTGATTCTGTCAATGAGAGTACTTCTATACGACGTATTATTCTTATTATCATTATTAGTATTTTTAATCCTGCTTTAATTGTAATTAATGATTATAATTATAGTTTTACTTAATAATAAATTTGCATATTATTATTAGCACATAATCTATTTATCTTTACCATTCTGTCCCGGTTTATCATTATTTGCCTGATAGTTTATTTTAACGATTATTTCTTAAGGTGTTATATGTTATATAATATTTATGCATTTTCTTTTAAACATGTGGTAATCTTTGTGTATGCGCCGTGGGTAAACGTTGAGCCCTTGAACGTCTATTGTATGTCGCAGTACACCAGTCTTTTGAATTTGCGGAAACATTATTAAAGTAAAATGACAGTAATAATGCTATAAATATCGCTGTTTTCTTTTTTACTTCTTTTTACTAAGAATATAAAAACATTTTCTTTGAAATTTGATGGTATTATTATACAATGCTCCTTCCGCTACACAATGGTTGCTGTCATAATGTACACTAATCACCACTTTTACTAGCATTTTCAGCAATTTCCCTGTCGATTTTTTTAATCGGCGGTGCTGGCTGCTCCAACATGCATGTATTTTATTGATGCATGATTTTATGATTGATTACGGGGAGGAAAACAGCGTAAAAAATATCAGCGCAAACAGGAAACGATTAGCATCTTAACCAGTCTATAATTATTCATCTGTTTACTTTTATCATGAACTGTGTCCTTACTACTAAAATTTAAAATGAAGTACGATTTTTTTCTTTAAATATTATTACTATAAATATATTCTGATAATTATATTACTGCATTTAAAATGATGTGTTACAGTAAATGCACTGTGTCACGGCAGCGTGAGTAGCCTAAGCCAATGAAGCTACAGTATTATCACGGTATTTTTAACCTGGCTATCAATCAAACTAATCTCATATTCTCATTCGTAGATCTGTTAATAAAAAAAAACAAAACAGGATATTTTTTTTAAATAGGAATCCACTTAGATTTAGATCCTTCTGCTGTCTATGCAGACGCCTTAACTAGCTGGGCAATTGAGGGTCTGTTGGGAATTCAAATTCGAATAAAGCAACTCATTTTCACACCCTTTCGTGCCTACGTAGTTGAACAGCGCTAGTACTTGTAAACCTATAGCTGACCCACTATCATTGTTTTACTCAATAATATTACCATATTGCAACGAGCGCCTTGCGAGTGTGATAAAGTCCCCCTCCCTCCGCAATTGAGATTCCCCGGTCAGACTATCGCAAGTTACAGAAAACAAGGGTTTTGATGTATTTCTGGAACATAAATATATTTATTTTTTAAACACAAATATTTCGGTCGTCCCTTCAACATTCTTCAGTGTGTACTGAACATACAACAGATCTTGCATAGTACTTTGGCATATATATTAGCAAAAAGGGTGTGAATTTATATAAATAATAGTTTATGTGTGATCAGATAGCTGATACAAATTTTTTGGCTTGCTTACAAATATACATTGTTGGATATACTGTACTTAATATATATATATATATATATTGAATAACATCGTAACCGTCTTGCGGCAGTTCATTCATTTCATTTGTTTCATTTCATCGATCGTAGATAGTTAAAATGGAACGCATATTGTAAAAAAAAACCCATTGAAATTATCTATAAAATGGACATACTATATATAAAAATACCTACAGTATACTGAATTACTTAATATAAATAATATAAATACTACTTATTTAAAATTTAACGTTTTGAAAATAGGCCTACTATGTACTTAATATACAATTAAATACAATACATTTATGACGTAATTGCTGTTGACCAACATATTTTTTAAACATATCTTTGCCATATAAACATGGTTTTTCACATAAAGATAATGTAATTTACACGTGTAAATGGTATTGCAAATATATTATTAAAATAAGATTATATGGTGTGGCGGTATAGGCGATATGTAACAAGTAAATTAATTTAGATTTTAAAAGAAATATTTTGTTATATAGAAAAAGATAATTAACACCGAATATAATAAAATTCTTAACTAGGCCGACATTGTATGTACGAACTAAAAGAGATACTGTAGTAAATAAAGAGTTTGCAATCAATGTGTTTCAATGTTAGGGTAACCATGTATTTCATTTTGTATATCTAATATTGTTATAATAAGTTTACTGTATAATAGTAGTGTTTCGAGAAATACTTAATAATACGGTACTACATTAGCAATATATTCTTATTATTGGTACTATATATAGGCCTAGTATTAGTGAAGTTTGACGTTAATAAAAACATTAATAATAATAATAATAATAATAATAATAATAATAATATTATGTTGTTATTATGTGGCAATAAGAGTATAACGTTATGACATTGACATATTTTCAAATATAGTAATAATGATGATAAATAAGATGATGATAATGATGATAATAATAATGATTGTATTGGTGTATATGATAATAATGATGAGACACGACCACAGCATGCATACAAAACTTCCACTGCGCCAAGCAGATCAATGGATTTTAAATACAGTACACGATACGCAGTTGACAACTGACTAACATGTTTGTGAAAATTAATACAATTAATTATCGTATGAACAGTGATACGATTTATTCCTGACACCAAAATGTATAGCAAGGATATGTTCACACAATGCCACTGCATGCCTGGATTAATGTAAATGGCCTAGGCCACAAAGACCAAAGCAAAAGGCTACCATTGAATATAAGATATCATTATTGTGAAAATGTATGTTAGGCCCACACTTGGAAGATTTATACCATATTCATTATCTAACTCCTTAGGCCCAAGAATATCAATCATTCTGTCTGCTAAATTTGAAGCCAAAATATCTCGTAATAGCATTAGGGGTAGTAAAGTAAGAGTAGATAAGTTGCTAGTTGTTTTTGCATACTTCAAATTAGTTAGTTTATATTTTATTATACAGCACTCTAATAAATAATAGTTATATTAGCATCAGTGTATTATTGCTACAAATTACATAACTTACGCAGTGTGCCGATCCAGGAATTCGAAATAGAGGCAATGGGAAAGTTACACATAGAGGGTCCAGAAAGTTTAGGCCTATGTCTCTCCACCTATTTGATGGCCGGAAATGTCACACTTAAAATTAAATTTTAATGCAATTTACCTTTCCCACAAATTTATTTCCAAAAACTTAGGAGGGGTGGAAGCAGACTGCTCCCCTCGAATCCGCCTCTGTTACAAACATCTGACCGTGCCAGTAAACGTATTCATTTGAAGTGAAGTAGTCCTTTACTAATGGTATTCCAAGCGCGCACTCTTCATGAACGTGAACAACAACTGACCAGCGACGTATTTCACATAGGCCTATGTCCCAGTGTAATTTCTATATTATATTTTCCTTGCCGTGTGACATCCTTGTGCTTTTTTTGCTTCATTTAATGTACTGATTTTGCGTATCTTATTCAGTGGCGTACTTAGGAGTTATGGAATTGCCGGTGTGGGTGGGGGGATGTAGAAGGCGTAAAGGTGAAGTGATTAAGATGATTAAGTTATGGGGCACTAGCTCGCAAATTAAGGTGATATTAGGTGATTTGTAACTATTTAAGCGTGATTTGTTTTTATCTTCGAACATTTTCAATAGGGGCGGGGGGCCACTTTATATAATTAAATCACTATGCCTGAGAACCACTTCTGTTCACTTATAATTACTAAACAATACCGGTAATTAATTGCAGTGCACATGGTATTTGATACCATCGATGCCGCTAGTCACATAGAATAACACAAAGTTTAATGTTAATTACATCAAATTTGCAATCACTTCTAATTTCCTTTTCCAAGTTAATCAATACTGATTGTCTCTATAGCGACAGAGGTAATGAATATCCCGTTGTATCTTGGAAGGTCTGTATTATTTTTCATATATATATATATATATATATAAGTTTTTGTCCATAACAAATGTAATACTGCGCTTATTGATCGAAATGATCGATGACCTGACGTCAGGGCCAATGTTTGTGTGTGAGCCTGTATTCATATCACTAGGAAAAAAGAGAGCTCCTTAGGCATACCAGCCACGGATGATGTGTAAAAGAAACACATATAGCGGATAATCAATTGCTCTAATGGAAATACATATCTTGTACGTTATATCCATTGGATGAAACGCCTTCGGATAAAGAGCACCAATGTATTTGTATTGCTAGCAGTGTGTTTAGCTACCTGCCTACGCACAGATATTCATAGATGCTCGCCCGGGGAAGCGTACTCGGCGCAAATAACACGCCCACACTATTACATGCTGAGGCACACCAGCACACACGTATGCCGAAACCTTACTGGGCCACTCCGACACAAATCCAACAAGTGTTGATTTTAGAAAAGATACTGTAATTCTTGAAGGGAGGCATAAAAAGAAAATTATTTAGTGGTTTTTTTTTGTTTCTTTTTTTTTGTTTTTTTGTAAGATGTTCAGTTTTTGTTTTTGTTTACCATGATTGTATAGTTGGTTAATCGTAAGCTTACTAATGAATATATTCAAGGAGATTAATTGCGCTACGCTATATACATACGCATATTTGACATCGAAATTTATCATTTCCTTATTTTCATGATATATGGCTACCTGTGCAATGAGTGATGAGGAGTTGATGTTCCTGTTTTAGTTTGAACTTTTCACTTATACACTCGGCTGCTATGATGGTTTAGTTGCAATAACATCCAAATTAGATTCAATTATAACATTGCTTGTTTTGCCGCTACATACATGTTAAGTATGTACATTTCTATTCAATTAAAATATATATAAATAGGCATAATATATGTAATACCTAATTATATAAATATAGGCCTTTACATACAAATATATATGAATATATGAATGTATAACTATATAGATATATAGATCTATTTCGCTGCCCTGTTCTTAACGATTCTTTCACCACTATTAACGAAAATCGTACAGTTAAACAGCGTATGAAATCGTGTATGGACTAGAATAATACCTCTATACAAATAGATATTAACTATATAAATACACTGTTTAAATATATTTAAATACGGTATACGGAAATATACGGTATTGGCCGACGCAGGGTGTGTCCCTCATGTTCTATTACATTTTCAAAATATCTGTGATTAGCCCGTAAGTGGTCATGATGATATGATATCACACATGGGCAAATTAAAGGTTCGATTATACACAGCTTGTGGTTCGTAAAGTTAGCAATACCTATACACTGCATGCGAATATAACTTTGCTGTGATTTTTGGTGGTAGCCTGAACGCATCGTCATTAATACAGTACGGTAATGATCACAGTGGCGGATCCAGAGATGTCCGAAAGTGGGGGCTAAAACTGGGGAGGTTCGCGAAAGTGGGGTCGATCGAGATAAAACTATTCTAGGGGGTCCCGCGAAATTTTTGTGTTCTAGACGCCCGAATATAACATCGTTTTGGGCGATCAATTAATTCTTTTTCTTTTTCTTTCTTTCTTTCTTCCTTTCTTTCTTTCTTTCTTTCTTTCTTTCTTTCTTTCTTTCTTTCTTTCTTTCTTTCTTTCTTGCTTTCTTTCTTTCTTTCTTTCTTTCCTTATCCCATTTTAAGCTTCAATCATGCTTCAATTAATCATTAATTGTTAAAATGATTGCAACAGGTGTTTCATTGTTACAAGTAATTAATAATGAATAGCTTTAATTAACTTATATGCGTTTTCGTCTATTATTGATTTGGTATTGGTCGTCATTTTCTACTATAATGCCTTTTGCGTATGACGCGTTCTTACTTGCATTACACATAACAACTCCCTGCACATACTGATTAGAAATGCAATAAAAAATACTGATTGTTCTTTTCTCTTTTTTTCAGATCTCTCAGCATCTAAAACATCAGTCAAAAATCTACAAGTGAGTTAATTTACACTTTGCTTTCAAAACCTTTATAGAATTTAACTCGCTCACCTTGACACATTAACTAGTGATCTCACATAAAATTAATTAGTAGGCCTACGTCACAGCTCAGCAATCTCACAGCATTTTCTATTTCAAAGCTCCCCATAACGCTGTCGCATAGTAACCTCACAACACTTTAATTACTCAGTTACACTTTAAATACTATGTAACAGCTTAATTTGATACTGATGCACATTTACTTCTATATCACAGCTCATTATGAGACTGTCGCATAGTGATCTCACAGGTACCGTAACTTCTACGTCATAAGCCTAACATGACACTATCGCATAGTCAGTGGTGTCCTCAAATCACCTTTCTACGTATTAGCTCAACCTAACACTATCGCAGACTTACCTTACAGCACCTTAACTTATATGTCATAGCTCAACTTAACTAACGGCATAACTCAACATGACACTGTCACAAATTAATCTCATAGCACCTTAGCTTTTACGTAATAGCTCAACTTGACACTATCGCATAGTGATCTCACAGAACTTTAACGTCTACGTCATAACTCAGCATGACAGTATGGCATAATAGTGATCGCACAGCACAGTAACTATCTGTAGGCCTACCACAATACAGAAAATCTAACAATAGCGTTTACATTTTCATTTTTGCAATATTATCCGACGGCCCCTAACATGAGAATACTGTACCTATGTACGAAATAAAATACATAGGCCTATGAGGCATAGCAGTAAGTGCAGTCGAAATTAAAAATATAACATAAAAATGATGAAATCCAAACAACAACCTTACTCAAAATATGACAATAACAGTATTATTTATTAAAATTAATTGGCGAGTTTAATAATGTAGGAAACGACCGATAAAGAAAGATGCTGTTGATGAATATAATCCAGTTGCATGAACTTTTTTATATTCAGTCTTGGTTTTAGCTTTTTCTTGTCGTGATTCATTTCAGACAGTCAAAGGAATAAACGAATCGAAGCCACCAATCACAAGGCCACCGTCCGACGTGAATACAGGTAACTATGGCAACACTTGTTTGTGTAATCGAGCAGCTTCGGAAGTGCGTAACAGACGCAATTGAAAAGATTTGACATTTTGCGGAACTGGTTTCAAGTGGTATGTTTCGTAAGCGAAAATCATCAAATTACGAAGCATCTTATTTAGTTAGATTTACCTAAAATTACGTCTTGCTCTCCACGTAAGCATTCCTATTCTGATTAATCAGGACGGTAGGCGTACTGTATAGGCCTATACTGTAATAACAGATGAAGATACACGTAGCTATGAACTATGGGAACAAATTTATTAGTGACGTCATAATTCTAAGTTTAAACAAACAAATCCTCAAACGAATTTGAGGGTTAACTTCGCCTTTTGCAATTATAACACACACACAATTTTGAAGTCAATCAAGAAAGTCGTTAAACAAGCTGAAATTGCACTTTGTTTCTTCTAAAAACATATTTAAATAACTGCAGTCTATATCGCTACCTATAGTCATTAACCACTAGTGAATGTTATTCTCATTGTTGAAATCAATTTGAGCAAATTATCCAATAATGTAATTTTGAGCAAATTCCGCATAACATATCCGCTATAATGGTAACCGGTACATACACTTCAGCTACCTATCACACCCGCTCGGCTAGTTCTTTTTGGTCTTGTGTACTATACAATTAAATTTCCAGGTAAGAAAACGCTTTTAATAAATTTGTATTAACCTACTGCAATATTTTGTATTTTATCCCGTCTACTGCTTGCATGAAATCGTCCGTTAAAGATATATTTGTACAATTATTAAATTAAGTACTGAATTGTTCAGTTTTCGATGACTACGGAATTCAATATGGAACAGTGTACGGTATTTTACACGATATTCTAATAAGGCAAAAAAAAAATTGTTTGTTTGCCCTACTCCACCACCCGCCCCTAACTTACTAAAAAAAAATAGGGGCGGAAAAACAAAAAAACTTTAAAAAAGTTTTTTTTAGCTTTTTTCTTTACAAATTAAAAAAATGTTAGTAAATTTATTTTTATTTTTTTGCCAGATGCCCTACAAATTAGCCTAAAGTTGTTGTCTGATGTAAGATATTGCCATTCTAGGCCTCTGTGGGTTATTTTTATTCTGATGGGTATTTTGAAAAATAAATAAATAAAAACTTTTTCCACCTGCCTCTATTTATTTTTTTTTTAAAGAAGGGCAAACAAACAATTTATTTTATTTGGCCTAATAACTTTACCCTTTATTATTATTCAAGATACCGGACAAAATTGTTACGCACTATTTCGAGGGCAATTAAAGGCGTAAAGCTCATGACATAGTTTCATGCAAGTATAAATATATTATATAAATTAAAAGCCTCACAATACACGCCGTAGTATTTCTTCACTACGCACAATCTTGACCCTTACGTGTTTCAAAATATATATGTCCTACTTTCACCATGCTTTCACTATGCAGTAATTTTTAACGCGGAAGACGACGGCTCTGAGACATTTTAATGCGAAAATAATAGGCCTATATGAAGAAAAATGTTGTAAAAATGTTCCCTTGTTGATTTACAAGCGATACTCAGTAAAACAACCGAACAATATGTGTTTCAAATTCTATTTCATAAAAATGAAGACAAAATAATGCTCACATTTCGTGTCTGATATTAATACAAGTGTGCTATTGATCCATACACACTATGCACGTCGGCTTAATTTACATGATATTGTCTGGAGTCTACATAATTTAAAACATGTAATGTCATCGGAGAATAATTACCCAGGACAAATGTACTGGAACAAGGTAAAACTAAATTAATAACTCCGCTTAATAAATTGCATATTACAATTTCGAGGCTAAACAAGCTCAAAACAACATAGAGTATACAATTCAAACTTCTATAACGCTTGTACCAGTCTGAATCATCAGTTAATAATATAATTTATTTTACCCTCAGTACGTTCCCGTTATAAAAATGAAATAATATTAAAAATCTAACCAAATTTTCATACGTTCAAAATGTTTCTTATATTTTGAGTGAGAAGTTAACTGCCTAAAAACTACTGTAAACATATATACATACAGCTGTCTATAACAGTACACAGATCCCATAGCCGAAGATAGGCAATTTAGGCTACTTGGAGTGTAAAGTCTACGTATGTCATATTTTTGTCATAGTGGTTTAATTCCAATTAAAAAAAATCACTGTAAACACTATATTATGTCACTTCACTTAAATCTGTCACTATCAGCATCAACTTTTACAATTTCCTTTATTTATTGACATATAATAATTAGAAACACACAACAACGTCATGGTGACGTCAGCAGCACTTATTTTTAGAAAATATACTCTCTTAATCATTTTAATTGTAGCAACCTATGTACTCATAAGACCTTTAACCCTCGTAAGTGAATGTAACAAACAAAATTGAAATCGGTAGACCTGGCAACAAACCCACGCAGGTGCTTATGTTTCCCGGCGTCTAATATTTATGCTGTTCGACTGTTGTTTGTTTTTATCGCAGTATAAAATACATAAAATCAGGCCTGGTAAACTGGTAGACTCCTTTGTTGGTTAGTCTACAAATGCTAAGGTTATTTTAACACGGAGCTGTCGGCGATTGCATCAACATGTTGCCGGTTTAAGCTTTTTATACGTTTCATGTTTATATTAACCTATTTTATTCAGTCAGATTATCTCTTCTGGTAGAGTATGACTATTCGAATTAAATCTACAATCTAAAGCCAATTACAAGTAAAATCAATTGCACATTTTGAATCTAATCTAATGTCAAATTACAGCCCTTTCATAAAATGAGTGATCTACGCCAACAGACATTCTAATCAAATACGAAAAATCAAACTTCTCTCTTGCATTCCTATTAATATATGATAATGTAACATACTTGTTTTGTTGTTGAAGATGTTCCTCGATTAATCACATAAGAAACTTTCAAAAACATTCTTGCAACATCATTTAACGTGTGACGTTAAAAATAGCTATGGGTATATGATAATGTAAACTATTTATTTTTAAAAGATATACCCCGATTTATCACTTTAGAAACTTTCAAAACATTCTTATAACATCGTTCAGCGTACGACGTTAAAGAATGGGTATGAGTATATTCATTTTAGCGTCGGCGATATTGCAAGAAGAAATCCATTAATTGTTGTAATTCCGGCATTCGCTTACAATGATGTCACATCATTTATGCTATATGGATTTTTATATCTGAAGTAAATGAATGAACGATGTATTCACTTGATCATTTAAAACTAATAATCGTTTTTTTTTTCACCCAGAAGAAAAGCCATCTTTGACGTTGGCAGACAGTTCAGAAGATAATGAGAAGTCTGAAGGAACATCAGACAACAAGGAAATTGTTGATTACCAAATGATGCAGAAGGATAGTAACAGTAAAGTTGTGAACGACAAACAAGTTGGTAACGAGGTGCCTGGTCACAGTAAGTATAGGAACACACTTGTATTGTAATCTTATCCTACTTTGCTTTCATTTAATTTCTTTAGGTACGAGCGCCAAAAATATGCCAATCAGTGAAATTAATTACTATGCTAGGGGGCATATCCATTAAACAACAGGGGACTGCTTGGACCAGTACACCGGGGTAACCCCCTAATCTTCTCGAAGGATGTACTGAGTTCTTTAAAGTTCACACGAGACAACTGTGTACACTGGGCCTACGGTTAAAAGTCCTTGTCCGAGAAGACTTGTTCCACCACCGGAACCATTGGCACATTAGGTGAAACAACTATGTATTTCCTTTTGTAAGGTTACTTCTGCCTTCCTAAAAATATAAGTATGATTCGTGTGCTTCTTTATAAAGGTATAACGGCTAAGATTTTAAAGTTTTAACAGCCTCTTTAGAATTTTTTATGAACGTAAGATTATTAAGTTTAAGGTAGTTTTTTTCAATAAGGTCGACTAAAGTTGCATTCACACCGAATCCAGAAAGCCTATCCCATGTGAACAAGGTAAACGGTTTTTTTTAAAAACTTGTTGTCTCTCATACTTGCGTCTGAGAGACAACATGTATGCCTTTTAATTGGTTTTTTTTTTATAGGTTTTTTTCTTTCTTCGCCTTTCTTATTTCAGCGCATACCTCGGTATTATGCACTATATAAATTTCACTACATACATCACTTCATACATTATGTTTTCAATTCTACTGGAGACTTGTTTAAACATATACAGACAAAGCATCATGCGCTATAGGCCTATAAAATCAATTAAATTAAAATCAGTTATTTGGCCTACTTTCTGGATTCTTCAAAGAGGTAGGTAGTTCAGTTGTACTATCGTACAAGAAAGTAAACTCCAAGTATTGAAATACACGCCATCGTGTTATGATTCAATATTTCGACATTAATTATGTCATCATCAGGTGATGATGTATTTCAATACTTGGAGTATGTATTATACTTATACTTATCTGAGGTTAATCAGTGGACCTTTCGGTCCCCTTTTAAGTAGGATTTTGGATTATTTCCAAGAGAAATATATTATGCTTCTTCAATGAGTTACGTCTACTCTTGATTTTTGTTCAATTAGTTCAATTAGGTAGCGCACTTGCATTTGTCAATATAACGTCGGTCTTTTTACTACCGAGCTACTACACTAGGGTTTCTTCAGTGAAGTAAACTCGAGTCTTAGTCTTTTTCAATAAGTTGTGCCTCAATCACTGAGTTTCTTGAAGTAGCCTAATCAAAATCAAACAATGAGATGTTACCGCCGTTTTTAAACGAGATAACATGACTACACTTGGGTTTCTTTGTATACACTACTATTAGGGTTTTAATAGGGTACTTTTATGTCATTTAGTGAAGTCGGTATACAACTTCAGGTTTTTTTTCAATGAAGTTGTTTTTTAAATGAAACAACATATCTTTGATCCAAATAGTTTTTAAAAATATAACTCTGGGTCTGCTTGACAGAACATTGGATTTTTATTGAATTACTACAGTTCATTTGTTGGATTTTAGATAGAAAGTAAATTAATTCTAGAGAAAAACAAAGATCTTGATTAATTGAATCGTTTTGTTAATTTTATCACTTAATGCTTAAATTACATGAACTACATATCAAACGCCTTGAGCATCTTACAGTAGATGGATATGTGCGCTATATAAAACTACACTATTATTATTATTACATTTTTTTCGGTAATATTATTGTGGCATGGCCGGACTCATGCAAACACACGAATGGAAAACAAGAAGTCAAATGCAATTAGCGTTACTACAGAAATATTCTTAAAATTGTGCACCTTTGCTTTAAACACACAATAGTCCAAATCACTACCGTAACAAAAAAAACCCCGTAAATATAGAATTTTAAAAATAAAAAAATGGATTAGTTAGATTAGACCCAATTACAGAGCTCTATGAAAATTAATAAAACAAAATCCAAAAGATATGAAATTCTGCCCCAGTTTGAACTGAATAGATCACCATTCATTTACTTTAACCCACTTTGTAGACAGTTCCTTAATAGTGTGTTAATATCACCACATATTTGGCCAATTATTAAAATATTGGATCGATTGAATATATTATCAGAATACGTTCTTTTTACTTGTACGAAGTCGCCTTAATTCGTCTGACGTGTCATTTGATAAACATGACGTCATTGTAACCAATGTAGGCATATTCTTATAGGAAATGAAATGAAATGCTTGCGTTGCCAATGATGTAAATAATAAGACGAACGTGGGTAGACTAATAGCTTGCTGTTCGATCGTTTTGATGATCTTAAATAATAGGACAAATAGACATTAGCTAAAATTCAACGATTAATACAGTCAATAGGTGCGAAACCATAATTCTATTTTGTAACATTTTGAAGTGAAAGTTCATTCTCGTTTTAAATGATTAACTGCACGGTGCTCGTACTCATCTCATGATTTAAGATAATTTGTCGCTTTAAATATTGTAATAACGAAGCTATAAAAACTTTAAATTTATGCAAATTGACAGCGTAGGCCTACCGTACCGGTTCTAGATAGGCGGTTGATCTGTACTTGATTGATGGATAATGCTAGTAACTTGGTGTGACCTATGCAGAATGATTCAAGGATTATTACACCAAAGCTGAATTTTACTATTATCAAATGGGTTTTATTTAGCCAAACTATCACAATTTTGATTGAATATTATAAAAACATCTTCTCTATTTAGAGACTCAACAAAAATATGACAAAGAGGTCTAAACAGAGCCGTTAGGCCCAATTTTACACAACTGTTTTGTCATCTTCATGAATACATTTACCGGGAATTTTAGTGCTAATTAATTACAGTCGTCAATCTGTTTTTTTGCTTTAGGCTACACATCCCTGAACTATTCTAATGCTTCTGCATTGTGTAAGACTTTCCTTTGCATAAATACCGATCATGAATTATTAGTAGTTAATTGATGTGTGTTGATTTGAGATAAATTTAAAAAGCGCTGGTTACGGAAATTATGATCAAGAATCTAATGCTTGCCCGACCACTTGTCGTTGTCATTAGCTTGAACGTAGCTCCGTGGATGTGTTTACTTTGTCGTTACCATTTGATGTTTGATAAAGAACGATAATTAAACAGTGTTTGACCAAGATGTATAAGGTATAATCACATATCGAGGCCAGAGAGGACGTTCTATGGTTGTACAAAAAACGTATTGAACATCAGAACTGCAGATTAAAAGAAATAGGACAGTTAATAAGAGGTGGAAGAAAGAAGGCTATCCACGAAAGAGAAAGGGTTTTCGTGGAAGCCCTACATAAATACATTCGCATTTTTAAAAGTGCAGAAACGGGATTCGGGGTGGGAATGCGTATTATCGTATTGCAAATATTTTGTTACAACAATTTACATAATATAAACACATGGATTATAATAGTGTATGCTCGTCAATTATTCTGTACAAAATTATTAAATTATGTGTTATTTTCTTTGTAAAAGGAGCACCCGCACTATCCGACGAAGAGGCTGACCAGCTGATGATGCTGATGAGCGATCCTGTGGCGATTGCTGAGTACCTCGCAGTCAGTGGTGACATTGTCGGCTTTCTAGAAGTTCTTGACGCGCTACAAACGAACGGATTCGTAAGTGACTTTTGAGATTTATAAATCGTTAACGTGGTAGTGTGTGTTTAGTGGGATTATTTATAGATGAGGCGTAGCCTACTGTAATCCTGATTTTTAAAAATACTTTTGAAGGGGTTGCCTCATTGGGTTTGTTGATAAACTGAGAGTAAAGAGATCTGCTGGCAATAATTAAGATAGGGATGCTTGGGGAGCTAGGAGAATGGGTAACACTTCAATCGCCCTATTGATGATTTACGGTAACTCTTTTATTGAGTCGCATGAACACGTTTTAGTAGCTACCCATCACAAGTTTGAAATTGAGTGTATACAGAATATGCATTTATATATGCTACGATGTAACTGTAGACGTCATTGCTAATTACTCATATTGACGTGAGGAATTGCAATTTTTATTTGATCTTTAAGCTTACAATTTACGTCAAGAAAAATCCATAAAAGGATGGCTTATAGACACAATCAATGTAAAGATCTATAATACATCGTTAGTTAGTGTCTGAATCACTTTACTAATTTTGAAGTACTCATGTTTTAACAATCGGGCTTTTTATTATTTCTTTGGGTGCTTTAAATGCTTGGCTCGTGTAATAGAGGGCGTAAAAATATTCTAATATTCTGCCAGCCTGTACAATTTATTTTAGATTGACGGAAAAGTAGCGGAGCAACTAAAAAACGAGGTTTCTAATGAGCTTGATAGCCTGCTAATTGAAGAAAATGCAGAAAAGAATGAGGTGTATCCAATGCAACAACAAACTCAGGTAAGATTGATTTCTCCGCTGTATTCACACACACACACACAGAGACAGTTAATACACAATTCCACAAAGCCAACTTTTTACAAATATTAAAATTAACCGTTAAAAACATAAGTTATAAAATTAATGAAAATACACTGCAGCATCTTTATTCCACATTATTCATATAAAACGTAATGTATTAGGAATTGTCGTCCATTTACTACTTTTCAGCCCATATCTTCTTCCTCTTAGTTCTTGTCCAATTTTTTGTCAGTTGTTGCTTAAATTAATGGGATTTCTAACAAGAAACGAATATTTTTCCAAAAATTGTGTAAATACCAATCACATCGATATCTAGTTATTTATTTTTCGTCAGCAATTGTTTAGATTAATGAGAGTGTGATCGGTTTGATTTCTAAAACATTCATTCTTACGCAAATTTTGTAAATACCAATCACGTCAATATTGAGCAATAACTGACGGCCTACCTATGTGTTTTTAGAATTTAATTATTGGTGGAGTAAACGGTACCACAGTGATCTTTGACTAATGTATTTGTAAATGTGTACGTATTCTAGTAATGAACTTGAATAAGTAATTGTACCTAAGTACTGTAAGTCTCAAATCAACCCACTAATATAAAAAAAAATCCATATTACTCTAACATTATCAACCCAAATTCCCGAGGAATAATTTCCAACAGTGCATTTTTATCGGCGATGTTTTCTATCAATTTAACACATGTACGTAAATGGTGAGCCGGCCTCAACTGGTTTTTCACTTCCAAAATTGACATCTTATTCAAAACAATTGTACAGTTAATCTAGCTCATCTATCATATATCCCATCTTTCCATTCTTCTTTCTTACAGATCTTCTTCTACTTCCTTATTTTTATTATTCTGCTCTCTTCTTTCTTTTTCTTCTTTTTTTCTTTATTCTTCTTTTTTGGTCTTTCTTATATTTTTCCTTCTTTCTTATTCTTAGTTTTCCTTCTTATTTTTCATCCCTATTTCTTTTTTTCTTTTCTGTTTCTTCCTTTTCTATTTCATCTTCTTTTTGCTGGTTCCAACAGTTAGTAATGATTTTTTTTTTGTAATCTCCCAATCTCATTTATATTGACGAAATAGTACTATAATTGAGCGCAATAATACACTTTTTCGTACCACAAACATCTATCAAATCACGCCTTACCGTCCGCAACATGTTCAAATAGTTTTACAAAACATCAATGATTAACTTTTATTTTTAGAACGAAGAGTACATGGAAACCGAAATGTTAAATATCATTAAGCAGATTATGACGCTGCCGGTCCTTACTCCAGGGGAAGTTTATCAAGCAATGATATATGAAGGTAAACTTGCCTTGACTTAGTATATAGTTGTGCCCATAATCTGTTTAATGGCAAGTGGGCGGCTTCCTGTGTCTAGATTTATATTACGCTACTTATAAGGTGTAGATTCCCAAAGAACGGAAGAAAAATATAAATAACTTAATTTAATTGCTTAAAAATGCCATTATATTAAAGGATGACTACTTTAGAAACTTTTGTACCGAAAGTTAAAAAAAAATCAATTCATAATGTGTTATAAAATAAGTTAAATAAAACACATACCAATCTAGTTATTATAAACGTATTAATGTTTTTTTCAAATCACATCGACTTTTCAGGAGCCTCTGGGTTGGTGGCATCAGTTGCTGGATTAGTCTATCAGAGAATCATTGAACGGGAAATAACACCCGAGGCCGGTGTTAGCCTTGTTGGTAAGTCTAGACCGGAGCTACACCTCGATTATCAATACTAGGGTTGGGGTAGCTGAGTGCGAAGTCGACACAATTGTGGCAATTTTAATACAGTAAAAGCAAAAACGTGACTAAATCAGATTTGCATGCTTTAGTGTAGAGAACATTTAGTTGTAGGGCTATTGACACATGATTAGAAATTTTACAGATTATAAGTTGGTAAACATTCATTCCAATGATTTTTTTTTTGTTCCAACAACCTTCTCTTGTAATTAAAATGCTAGTTCCATTTATCGTTATTATTGTTTATATTGTTTAATCAAATGAATGATTTCATACTTCATTGAAATAGCCGCCGTTTTCCAACTGAGTCTACCAAACCAATACATTCCAGAGGAAACATCGGATGAGAGTTTCTATGACGACGCATTTCTAGATTACATCCTGGAGACAATGTCTGAAGATGACAACATGATCAATGATGACATTGAGGGTGAGAGTCAGCAAGACGGAAAGATTGAGGACCTGCCTATTATGAATTCGGCTGGGAAACAAATTGGTGAGGAACACAAGGTACACAGTTCAAAGCCACTGTTAAACAAGGACGGCAAAGTCATCGGGAAAGCGATCGAAGATGATGTTCGAATAGAGACAGCAGAGGGTGGCAGTTTAGAGGAAGAGTTACAAGATATGGCGGTGGATGAGGGGCAACAAGGTAAGATATTAATAATGATCAAGACTTAACCGGTGTCAACCGTGTACATAAACACAGATCTCCGCTGTAATAACTCAATACTTCGATTTGGGTGCTGGCTAATAGCTCTGTGCTTTTTGTTTTTTTCCTTGTTTTTTTAAAAAATATTTTTTACCTATTGTGCACATGGAGACCCCGACAATAGGTGAGCTCTAAAAACATATAGGCCTAAGCTTAAAACATAATAAGATTTAATGTACCCACTTGAGTATGTAGTAGTAGTAAGGATACAAAAACTACCGTATGGAATCTGAAAAACACCAGATAATCTTTGGACGTCTAAGACGAGGAGAAGAAGGATTATAGAGTGTACAATTTTTATAAAATTCAATACAACCTTATTAGCGATTCAATTATCTACCAACTACTGTACCAATCTTAATCACACTTTAAGTAGATCAAAACACTGTTTGAGATACCACTTTGGCCACACCTATTTGGAATAATTTGCTACTGGAAGCAGCAACAGCTCTACGTACCGTACTTTTTAAAAATTTGGCGCTTCCAGTGGTGTGTCAGTACCTCTACATAGAGCGTGTATTTGCAACCTCAAGTCACTTTCTTGAGTTGTATGTATACAATTTGTATTTGATGCATTAATGCATTTTTATGTATAGGTTTCCCAAATCATACTGTATTATTTTAACTGCTACGTATAACATGTATATTTTATTTTTAATTTAGAAACTAATGATAAATCCTCATTAGAAACTGAGAGCGCTGAAGTTTTCGGTTCTGGAGAATCCGAGCTGGAGTACTTACTCGATGATAAAGGTGGGTTTAATAACGACAGTCTGTAGCATTAGAGCGCCCTTTTACTATTGCTCATTCTGATACTTATAAGAATTTATTTATAATAAATATATTTAAAATTTTCCAAATATTAATAAGTAACTGCCACTTAGCTACATTTCACTCAAGGCTTCTCCTTCTTTGTTGTTTATCGTATCATAATAATACATAATAACATATAATACTATTTGTAATGGGGAGAAATTTATTGTACAATATTTGAAATTTATGTTCAACTCTTGAAGGTAAAACGAACTTATATAGCTTTCCTCTTCGATTATCAATTTTCCATTAATTTATTGAATATTAGTTCAAACTTTTGATTATTACAGATATGGAGAAGTTACCAGATATACTGAAGATGCGATTAAAGAACTACTTTAAAGCAGTTGATGGAGCAAATGGAAAACAACCTGAGTGATGTGTATTCTGACAGACCTGCCTTTTTTGTGTTATTAATCCACCCAACAAACAATCGCGAACTAGGAGGGTTACGAATCATAATCAGTTACTGTAATACACGAACATGATATACATACACGTTGCGACTTAATATTGTATAAAATGTCACTACATTAGGCCTATATGATTTATGTTCACAATGTTAGTTGATGGCCGGTTATAAAAAAGTTTTTGTGCCTACTTAAGCTCTTACTATATTTTGGGCAAAATTATTTAATTGTTTAATGGGTTAACAACAAACTATCATTACTTTATTCATTCAAATGAAGCGGAATGAAAACAATAATATATTTCAGAGTCTGAAAAGAATCTGAATAGACTTAATTTACAGTTGTGTTATAAACTGATGATTAATGTACAGAAATTGACAAAAGAGCTATCGTTAAGCCGTTCAGAATTGTGTGCATGTAGTCCTATGTATGTAATCCCGCTAATTGAATAGCAAAATACCAGATCATTGAATTACTCACTTTAAAGGGTATTGTCTTTGAAACCAATAACAATTGGCTGACATATATGTCTTACATTTTTTCTAAAAACATAATTGAATCAACATAGGATGCTATTTTCATGGCAGAGGTAAAATTAATGGCATCATCATTAACACCTGCATAATCATTATTGTTTTATTATTATCATATTTTTTTTATGTATATGTATATATAGGTTCCACGTATGTCTTGATAATACAAAATAAGTACTATTGCACAAAGTAGAAACGTGTACGTTGACATTATAGACATAAAATATATTTAGATATTAAAATATCTTTATGTTTATAATGTCAACGTATACGCTTCTACTTTGTGCATTTGTACTTATTATATATATATATAGGCCTATCTGTCTCTTATACACATCTAGATGTGTATAAGAGACAGCTTTTAACGGGTGCAATTTTACTTACATAGTCTGGAGGCTGGTTCCGCTAAAAGATCCATCTTCTATATATGATATCTCATTAAGATAAATAAATCTGTATGTGTAAAAAGTAATGAATCAATAACAAATAGATATATGATTGACATCTCTAACACATTCACAGGACAACAGTGCGTCTTCAGTTAATTCCCTATGAACTAAAACATATGTATATTTATATATATATATATATACATATATATAAATTATATATTTAATAATAAAAATTATAATATATAATTA